TGCGAAAATGTCTAGAGTCGCGTACACTGATGTAATCAATAAATAATAAATGTTCAAGTTCGCATTGGTTTCTATTTTAACTGACGGAAGATATCAAAGTTGTAATTAAATTTGCGAAAAAAGCGTTTTTTCTGTGGGCCATCAAGACTCATAAAAAAAAATTGAAAAACATTTAATCGGCGAGCGATAAGAGCGAACAAGAATCAATAAATAGAAAGAAATCGAATGGATGGCAAAGACGATTGACTAATAATAAAAAAAAATTCGTTGGTTTATCAGTGCACTTCAAAATTGATGGTCACAATTACTGAAACGGAAAAACAATTTTTTTCGGCTCTGATTTCATTTCCAAATTAAAATTCCTGTTCGATGCATTGACCTTCCCCTTTGACATATTAGAAATTGAAACAAGCCATCACCATCACATGACATTGCACCGCAAGTACGATCGAAACGCTATCACTCCATCATCGATCAAAATAAATAGCAAATTTGTTGGCAGTAATTGCACACCACAAATTATTGCAACGCTGAATGGCGTTAAATTGAATGTTGTCTTATCGATAATGTTGTTTTATATTGGATGGAGTTTTTTTTACAATCGGCGTCATTTAGCCGAAAAATTAAATTTACTCTGCTATCCGCAAACAAGCAACCATTAACTATTACGAAATCTCAATTTCGAATTGTGTAAACACAACGAATTCGTTGCGCTGCGTGCTGCCGGCTCTTTTTTCTGGCCTTTTCGATATTTTCAATACTACATCGGCTCTTTCTTGCTCACTTTTGCGCTTTGTAAATGGGTGTGTGTGTGTGTCTACAATAATGTGGCCCAGTAATTGGACGATTTCGATTCAACAACGACGACGCCAACATTCATTCGCATATCTTTGAAAGTACCACGTCCAAGTTCATGTCGAAGCGTATGCATGTATGCTCAATGTACCGCAGAAATTAACTAAGTTGGTACCGATGATGAATCGGGTACGCAACAAATCGGCAACTCGGCTATCTAATGTTCTGTATCGCACATATCTCTTTCGCTGTGTGCTCAAATGTCTCATACTTCAACTCTCACTCACACTCTGACTCCATCGTTGGCATACTATCCAAAACATACGTATATGTGTGGCATATCAGTTGCATTCAATTCGATTTTCGAATGCAAGCCACACAAACACACGCACATCCAAATCAACAGATAACGCTTTACCGAATAATATCCGTACATTGGAAACGCTATCCGGCGTTTTTGTTCCGCTCGCATGTGTTCATAATAAAGTGTTAAAACGTCATCATCACCCGACAATATTCGATCTAAATTACATTTGTAAATAATTTTGTTGATAGGAAATAATTGATGTGTTTATCATTAGCTTAACGGTGGATCACATTTGACTGACACGCGGTTAGCATAGATACGTGCACGAAATATTTGATGGCTGATGTGATAGATAGTGGATTGACATGGCTATGCTATGCTCTATTCAATGACACCTTTTTTTATCGGGTTCCATTCCATGCAGTTGAATTACATCTATTGACAAATTGATTAATTGCTAATTGAGCAATTGATATTTATGGATTCAAGAAAGGGTAACAAAAAATTTAATGTCAACATTTGGTGTTAACTGCCTACAATGTTTCTTGTTGGTGGCTCAATTAAGACACTTTTTTTATGGAAGCCATTTATCAACTGTGTATTGTATTGCAGTTTATCTCTACTGTTTTCCTTCTTTTTTTTCGTCTCCTGAAGCTCTAATGTCATAGACATTTTTTTCTATTGAAATTGTTCTGATAAGTGACGTGTTCGAGTGCCGATTAATTTCGATGTTCATTGACTTAAATCTCAAACGCACAGCAACTCATTGAAACAAGATTTGATGGACTCTTGATTCCAAAAATAAAAACCATCCTTGTATTAAATTGGAAAAATTGATAATCATCGGAGCAAAAAAAAAACGAGTGAATCAGGACTTCGGTGAATCAATTGGGGACCGAAGAAACGCGTTTGTAGTAGATTGCGAATCGGCAACGCTAAGCCAAAATGTTTACAATATGCAAATACCGTAAGTAAGTTCAATGTTAGTTGCAATTTCGACCCATTGGTGATTATTTACCTACGTTTATACGTAAAAACTCGAAAAAGAGAGATACAAAAAAAAACTGAAGATTACTTTTAAGCACCGAAGCAAACATAAATATTTGATAATCCGGTAGAAAAACTTATTAGTGTTACTTAAGAACTGAACTTACGTTCGGCAAATTCGCTTCGATTTGTTCTGGGTAAGCATATTCGAAAGGACTGAAACCTTTTAATTTTCACATTAAAACGGTGTTTCGAATGAAATAAACGATATTCTCTGGAAATGTTCCCCTTCTCAAGTAGCTTCTGAATTCATTCGCTTACTGCGTAGGTTCATGAATTCGATGAACAGTGAGTCAGTTACATCCATTTGCAGTGCAGTAAAATCGATACGAAAAAGTAGCAAGCGAGAGAAGATGATTTAATTACCGCATTGATCAGCATCAAATGGACAGAACATGAGGTCGGTGTCGAAGTATGGAGAATATACGTCGAATCCCATTACGCGACGACTACGACGTCGTCGTCGACAACATTCCGACTTGTGAGTTTGATGCGGGAAAGAGTGAGAGTTTGAATTAGTGGAAAAGGAGTGGCTTTCCATCATATTCAGTGTCGAGAGCTGTGCTAGTGTTGAATTTCATTTCCACCAATGCGAAAATGGATTTTAAGTTTACAGCATCCGCAACAATACAATGGCAAATGGCAAAGGCTGACACGCGTGTGCTCTCTCTCCTTCTCTCTCTTTCAAAATATCTCTCCGTTACTCGGTTCACACCACCAGCGCACCAAAACGCATGACAAATTGGTCGGGCCGCATGTGTATTTCGCCGAATCTAGTGCAAAACGTTCCATACATATAATGTCGAAATGTTGTTGTTCAGCGCAATGCATGTGTGACACATGCATCTCGAGTGCCTAGTACAAGCCAAACAAAACAGAGAATTAAATTTATGCAAACCAAATCTGTTTATAATATGCTCATTTATGAGATAAAATTGATATTTAATGCTAAGCAATCGGTTGCTGTGTGTGTGTGTGTGTGCGCGCGTTTTAACCTTTAAAATCTTCGATTTTTCACCCATGAAACCATTTGATCGATGCTTTCAGATGCTTTCGAATTGTAGTGCAAATATTTTAATATTCTATCAAACACTCTTTACATGGGTAATTAATGTATTTTCATTGATTGTTAATCAATGAATGCGAAGTCAATTGATCTTGGGCTCTTGGCGACCAATGGAAGTGATAAAAAAAGTGCCAGCTACAAAAAAAAAACAAACGATAAAAGCACAAAAGGCCGATATTTTCCGATTACGTAAAATTGCGCCACATTGATGGAAAGGTGATGGTGATGGTGATGATGATGATGATAATGGCAAATGATAAGTTCGCTTGCCATTGTGAATATAACCTAGCAAACAACTTAGGTATTCTTATCATTTTCCATTTATTAGATTACAACAAATGAACGAAAAGTAGAAAAAAATTACATGAAAATTATTCGCACATAAGTAAATATCCATTTAACGTCTACCTTCCATCGGATGATGATTCCGGGATGAAAAAGTCCTATTCAACACAATCTCACTCTACCACTGTCCCTCGCTCGGGCGAGCCAGCGAATGATGTGCGCGCGCGCGCTTCCAAAAGTAAATTGTAACATCGTTAGTCGTTAGCCTACTCATTGGTCCATAGCCGATGGATCTTCACATTAACATCTCTTCGCCACTCTCTTCTTCGCTACTTGGAAATCCATTCTCGGTATGGCGAACAAAAGACGGGAAAAATAAAAGCGATTGCGATTGCCATCACAAACAAAAACAACCATATAAGTGCCACGGCCATAACCATTTTGATGCGATGGAATGACAAAGAGAGATTGTTATTTGTAGCGCAATCGGTATATGTTTGGTGTAAATGCCATTTAGATCACTTCCATTATGGACCATAAGCGGAGAGAATTAAATGCGAATGCTCCGCAAATATTCACACACAACATGCTTTTTTGCCATTCGTTTTTACATTTACAAACGAGCGAGCGAGCGAGGGAGGGAGGGAGAGAGAGAGAGAGAGCACGCATGCAAACACATCACACAACATCCGAACAATATGTGAATATTATGCACTTGATCGTAAAACTGTTTCTCACACTAAACACCGTTTAACGTATCCTTTTTGGCTGGCAATGGATGCTGGTAAGCAGCAACGGCAACATCAGAAGCAGCACCAAAATCACCAGTTACATACATCGCTCAACGTGAGAGGAAGAAAGAAAAGAGCAGCAACAACAACAGCAGCAGCATCAGCAACAATGAAACAGCGAAAAATAATTTGCCAAAATGTATTTAAAAGAAAGGAAAAACAACCCTGACACCGTATAATCGAGGCAATTATCCCTACCTAAATATGGCATGCGATCAGAACGCGCACACAATGAACACGCCTACATGCCATGAAAAACCACTCCTTCGCCCAAGCACAATGATGTGCTGCGACGCTCAACGGAATAAAACCCGTCGACAACTGACATTTTGTACACACAAATAAAACGACTCTTGCACACCACCAACTGCCACACTGTGACTGTCGTCCTGCTTGCGCACACACGCACGCACCACTCTCAACCGCTACATTCCTGTCGTGCTCGCTCTATCTCTCGCATTTGCTAACTCACTCGCTCGTTCGCTTGTGAACCGCATGCTCTCGCACCAACCGTAACTGTTATTGTTGTCTGCTCCCTCTTTGGCTGCCTGCTCGCATGCTGCTGCTGCTGCCTGCCTGCCTGCCTGCCAGACAGCACTATAATTGTGTTGGTTGAAACCCACAGAAGTAGTTTTTCGTTTTCAATCAGAAAGCTATCAGAATGAAATTTAATGCTGATATTTGGGTGTTAATAATTTCGATTAGACAACACAAACAGTTCTAATCGTGATTTCAAGGTGTTTGGACGTATGTCATTACACTGTATTATGTTGCGACTACGACTTACCAACTGACGTTATTATCTGAGGCACACATCATTTTCACTCAAATATTTTCTCCTGCATTTTGTCAATGAACCCAATTTTTGTTCATTTTTTTTTTGTTGATAACAAAGTGAATTGTTTACTACTTTATGGATATTATTTGATTTTTCCTGAAGAAAGCTGTGCATAAACACAGACTTTTCGGAAGAGAAGTAGACGAAGAGAATAATTAAATTTAGAACAATTTTCAAGTGTTGAATAGAACAGTTGATCTCATCCCAGGAAATCATGTATAAATAAAATTTGTTGTTATTGATGTGGATAAAAGTTCCGTCGATGTTATCAACAATTCTTCGAATAGAAGTCGAATCATCTACAGTGACAATCTCGTTGTGTCATTGATTTATCTGAAATTCGTACGGTAAACTTGAACTCTTGTTATCAAACACCATTCGTCGGAAATTCGAATAACTTCGTTTGAAAAGTGATCGAAGTCCATCTGTGTTTTTTTTCGATGTTTTATTCATAAGTTTCCTTCAAGTTTGTGCATTAAAATTCTGGGAAAATTCCGTGATCAAATTTATCAGGACTCTGGAACAAAAAACTGCAACAAATATACTGCAAAATACGTTCTGAATTGAATCAAAAGACAAATTGAGATTTATCACAAAATAAACAATAAAAATTACAACGCAAAAAATCTGAATTATAAGCACAGCTAATAAAGTTCACAACAACGTGCTCGACGAAGTGATTCAATCTGAAGTCAACTTTTGTTTCGGATTTAAGTACCCAAACACACACACACACAGACACATACAAACAAATGTCACCCGGTTCAAATACGCCACGATCAAGTGAAATGCATTCGCCAAAAGTAACGCCAAACAATTTGGAATCAAGCACAGTAATCGCACAAAACACAAATTCTATGTCACCGTCATCCGTATCACCACGAACAATGTCACCGCCAACCGATCGCAATGGTTTTATTGGCGACAATTTCGGTGGATACCAACAGAGTTTTGCCAATTCAGTGGTTCCCTATCAAACGAATGTTCCACCGAAAAAGTCATTTTGCATCGATGCTTTGTTGTCGAAGAATCATCAAAGCAATGGCGATCAATCGCCCGATGCCAATCGTTTCCTGAGCGACGATGACACTGGCAACAAATACAGCGACGATCAACGCGAATACATGTCCAGTCCAGAAGATGGAATCTCAAGGTAAATAAAATGCCATTTTTGCCTGTTAATCGAAAAGGAAATTCATAAATTTTGAGTGAAAATGACCAAACGAATGCAATTGTGTTGTGAATAAGGTCAATAATTTGAAAAAATCTATCCATTCGAATATATATGGAGCTCAAAATGTGAATCGCCGACGGGATGTCAATACCCATTTGAAACACGCATTACACTCTTGATATTGATGCGTGCATTTTTGCAGGTCTGAATCGCCATCATCACAGCGATCAAGTCCACCGATAAGCCCGGGTTGCGAAGACCAAATGCTCGATTCGCATGAAACATTTAAAAAACCATTACCTCCGATGCGACCACAAGAATTTCCACCATTTTACAGTGGCTATCCGTACCATTTAATGCAGCACGGCACCTCGGCATTTCATCGGCCAATTGATGCATCGGGAAAACCAATACCGGTAAATGAAAACAGCATTTATTATTAAAATCAAGTGCAATTAGGTGTGCATACACGTTAGGCGAAACAATTTGTCAATTAAATTTATTTACACATTGCCAACCGCAAAGTGTTTGCATCTTAATTCGCGAATTAGTTTATATGGTATTTAGCACGTGCTCAAAGACGATGTGGCTCTTACTCGCTCTCTCTGCATCAGCGACACTTAATAGTCGGCAAATGCAATATTTGCGATTAGGCTAAGCCTTTTCCACGGTTTTTAATTAGTTCTTCTTTGGTTTTGGTATCGTTTGCAGTTGCACATGAATCATGGATTTGTGCCACCACATCTGTCATTAGAGTTTCTAGCCAAGGCTGGAATGTTTCATCCACATTTGCCGAATTTAGCGGGTAAGTTGGTTTTTGGCTGATATTTTTGTTGTGTTTCTTAAAAAAATACACGCTTTTTTATGAAAGAAATAAAAACACAAGAGTCTGTAACCTTTTTTTTGTAGTGTGGTCATAACTACAATAATAAATATTTTTCTCTGTCGAAAAAAAAGTAAAACCGATGGAATTTTACAAGAGCACATAAACATTTCTTGGAGAGAAAACGATTGATTCATACTTTTTACTTGATTGCGTCGGCCCTTTGCCATTCGACGATTCCTCAAAATTTGTTCGGTTCAGCCAATTAAATATTTATTTATTTGCTTATTGCCGCCACGATTTATCGGAATTATAAGCGGCCAAATATTTGGGGATAATTTATAACGATTCCAATATAAATATTCAAAAACGTGCCATTTATACGCAATCACCAGTGATTTACCACGGCGATTCGTGAAAATATCACGCACAATGTCATGCACATCGATCGGCTGTCAATGGTTGGAAAACACTCAAAGCCCATAATCAAATACGAACGAAAACATCAAAAATCAACCATTTTTGCAGCGGCGCTGCGTTTTCCGTTCCGAAAATGTTGCGCTGGTGTACATCGTACGTAGTGAAGAAGGAATACATACACAAAGTCAGTCAAATAGATACAGCCAACAAGAGGAGGCATTTTGCTGAAAACGCCATTCTGATACATAATTCATAAATATTCAAATATTCATTATACAAACCAAATTTGCACATCGTTGACTTCTCGATACTACACACGGGCAAATACTGACAGAAAGAGAGAGAGAGAGAGAGAGAGAGAGAGAGCGTTCGCAATCGGTCGGGATATACAGTAATGCCGACTAGAGGTACCGATGCGACGCTTATTTGTTCGATCACTCGTTGGGGATAGTACTTTCACTGAACGTGATGACTTATCGCCATATCGATTGCGTTAAATTTCTCTGTTTTTTTATTTTTTTTTTCGTTTGGCTTCCACTCACTTGGGCCACATTCAATCAGTTCGCTTGACCTGTGATGTGAAAACGAAAATGTCTTATCTATTGAATTGGATGATGATATTGTGTTCTGATGATACTCAAAAAGATGCCAAAATCAAATTCCATGAATTTGATGCCCTCGGTCGTGTGCTGATTGCTTTGGGATTTTTCCTAATGCCGACACACACACACATAAATGTTTGAACAATTTTTATTCAATTTTCGAATCATTGCATTTCGGGGGAACGAATTTAATTATGACACTTTCGTAGACGATTGTTTCATATTTATTGAAGCATTTCTACCGCTCCTAATAGATCTATGATTCTAAAAAGATGTCGCTAGAAAGATTGTGTCAATGCCATCACAGCATTCGAAATTCTCTGTACCTTTTTCTCTCTTTGCTCACTCTCTTTCTCTCTCCCTCCCTGTCTCCGTTTCTATTTCTGCACCCAAACCGATACGAAACTTCATAATTTTTGTATGCAGTGAGCATTATGTTTATTTTGATTGTTGGTTTATTTTAATCCAATTGTTCACATTCGTTTACCTGAGCGTTTGTCACCCGAGTGCGACACATACACACATAGTCTTCTATGAAAAAAAATGAAACAAAAAGTCATCCGGCCAAAATTCGAAGTGCAAACAATCGTCAATTCTTTATTCATTCAGATCAATCAAAATACAACCAGAAAAAAAACATATATGCACGCACACGCACACATAAATGGTAGAGAGGAGCTACAACAATAATACCGAATGCAAAAAAATAACATCAACAAAATCAATACAAACACGTAAACACACTAAGCAGCCAAGAGTGAAGCATTTGTTTGCACAACAGACAGTTTTGAAACAAACACTACTCACACGAACAACTCGTGATCGATACGTACCTCTATGACGAAAAACTTTTGTGCCAATGATTGCCGCACTTTGCAACCCCCACAAGATTCCAAACGAAAACTGATGCGTAACACATCAACGAGGTACGCGCGTGAATGAGCTCAATCAGTCGCCTGCCCGTCAGCCACCACCGCCAAAATACCAAAAATACACGCCATAAATTCGCACACAAATTCATCGAAAAATATGATTCGTGCAAATCGGTGAATATAAGTTTTAAATGGGGTTTGGGAGGATTTGGATCAAACGGCTTTTGTTTGTGTTGCGATTTTGATTCAGCAGTTTCAAATTTAAATCGATTGTATGATTTTCCAATGGAAAATCAACGCAATGCAATCGTTAAATGACAAACAAATGCAAATATAATTGATATGCATCCACAGAAATGAAATGGAGCCGAACGAGAGAGCGAAAAAAAGCATGCATATGTAAACGATTGCATCGGCAGGCAGCAGCGACAAGCCAAATGCAGTTTGCATGAAAGATAAACAATCATGATTTGCGTATGAAATTTCCGTTTGTCTTCGGTTATTCATCCGCATACGTCGAATTGAATACAACTTAATCTAAAGTCCGATTGAATGAAAAACAACAATTTTGCCCATAAAAAATGTCCTTTTTGTAACAAAAATACATGGAAATTCGGGACAAAAAACAGAATCACCGTTGGATATTTGTTTTACTTCGATTTGTTAGTGACAACAAGTGCAGTCATCGTTTAAAAGAATAATTTATTCGCTTTTTATTTGATTACACGTGTTTTTTATGGCCGTTCAAAAATGGGCTCCCAGTCGAATGACAAAAAGACTATCATCCGAATGCGAAAATTAACGTCCCGAATATGCGCGCAACATTTTTATAGTTTGCTTTCTTTTTTTTAGTCATATTCCATATTGGCTAGAGAGAAAAAATCATATTCATCAAATTGGCGTCAGGATAACGCTTCAGTTTTCCCAATTTTCAAAATCCAATTTAACTCACCAGAACCAAAAGAGAGGAAAGAGCAAACGGACAATTTATATCATGATCGAATTTGTAATTTATCTGGATACAATTACGCAATTTCATCAACAATCTGTTTGTGTGCTGTTTTTTTCCCTCCAGAGTGGGAGAAAGGGAGAGAGAAATGCAGATCAAGTCGATTTTTTTTGTCGGCCACTGTTTGATATTTATTTCAGCTATTCACCAAATTGAAATTGGGTTTTTGACTGCTTATAAATTTTTGATGCAGCAATAAAATAATTGAAGATAAAAACCCCAGAGACGCTGATATCTTTCGATTTAAATGTTGGTCAAAGATTGTCGGTGTGTATGTATCAGAGAGTCAATTAATGCAATGTGAAATGAACAAAACAATTTGAGGCGCCAGCCAATCGATGCGTATTTCAAACGGTGCAATTAATAATCCAAAATTATCGACAATTTCGTTTTGTATACAACAATGAAATGGGCCATCAAGTGAAGCAATATAAATCGTCGAGTGTGTGTGTGTGTGTGTGTGTGTGTTCGTTTCAAGCATGCAACAAAAATATTGCTGCTGAAACAATGCTAAATGCAATCTGTATATATTTACCGCGATGTTTGCACATTTTTTCGCTTCGCTTTGTTTTGTTTTTATTTCACAGCAATAATTTCCTGTCATAGTTTTGAATGTTTGAGCATTTCAATCGATTTTATTTTTATTATTGGCCATTATTGATGGCATACTCCGTGCGCAAAGCATAAGAAACAACCACTTGAAACTATATGACACGTAAGAAATACATCGCATCAAATCCAATTGCCGAAAATTGGTCTTGTGGAAAATGGCGAGCGAGCGAGGGAGAAGAGAGCTTTTAAGATGATGTTTAATATTTCCAATTGAAATTACTCGTTTCGTTTTGTGAGTCATTTCATTACCATTATAATTCATTGCAATCGCACGCATTCAGATCACTTGAATTGTCCTAATGAAATAGAAAAACAAGAACATTGACATGGTGCCTTCTTCATCATTTCCAATCGTGTTCTCTTTTCATTGTTCCTACTATGAATATTAGCCAAATTGCAACCATATCACCACTTCAATCAAATCGAATACAATTTTTTCGAGCACCGCTCAATGTCAAGTGTCTTATTTGGCGCATGAATAAACTTATGTTTGATGTAAAAAAATTTTTTTTCATTGATTCATTGAGTTTTCTGTGTGATTTGTCGTTTGTGTCAAATTACCAGGCAAATGTGAGAAGCTGAGACAGAGAGGGGGGAGAGAGTGATCACACCAAACAAATGACGTCAACTGACAATTTTCCAAAATGCAGCAAAAAGACACGCATAAAAGCAGATAAAAGCCAAGACGAACCCATAAACACATACTTACCATATAATTTAATGTGCGAAATAATCTCAACGCATCGAACAAATCCCACAATATACACACACACGAACGAACGATAGCACGAACGGGAGGGAAAATCAGTTAAAATACACTTGTGCCATTTTCAAATGTTTAGCAAATACTTTTACAAATTGCCTTCACATTACCCGATTACTTGGAACGGTTTTGTTGGTTTGTGGGGCGGCATAAATTTCAATTTTCCTCGTCTTCTCGCAATCGTTGTTTTTTTTCCCTTCTCTCTGCTCGGCTTGCTTTTTTCCTTTCGCTTTTGCTGTCGCTGACGAAGCGAGCAATCGAGGCGAATGCTTTTTTTTGGGTGATGGTGTGCTGCCGCTGCCTATTTGATTTGGGGATCGTTTTTTTTTGTGTATGTATGTGTTTGTGTTCTGTTGTTTGAGATGCTTCCCTCCTCAATCCTCAAACGAGCTCGGTTTTTCGTATCGCAGCACAACGCATTCTTTATGTGTTATTTACCATACAATTTACTCAGATTTTCCACAATTTAAGATAAATTATGTGTCTCTTTTTCGAATGGCAAACGTTAACATAAAGTAACTTTTGTTTGTAATTCACCAAGAAGCAATCAAAGTTTGAATTTCAACGTCATAAAAACACCAGCGCACCAACGCACCACTACCACGACATGAAATATTCTCGCATTTAATTTATCTTCGTATCGATGTTTGGTTTCGTTTAGCTAAGTCAAACAATTCGCAAATCATCATACATTTTGAGTAACA